GCAACGCTCGTCTATCATTTTCTTTGTTTGATGTCCCCACTCGGGCTTTCTCCTATCTTCTTTTTATCTAACCATTCTTGTTCTTCTATTTCTTCTTTCTTGTTTAGCCTTCTTGGCTACCTAGTCCGATTCTTTTTCCAATTGCGACCGAAAGATATTGGTATGGAGTAAAGGAGCCCGAAAAGACCGATCTTATGCCATCCATGTCTTGCATCCCGCCGACGATGCTTCACTGGTGGAGCGTTGACAAGTGAAAGTGAACCTTATCGCAACCGGGGAATCTCGCATTCTCGCACTCCACAGCAGATTCTGATCGGTCTCTCTCTCTTAACTCTCAGCCATTGGTTTCAAAAAGCTGCGTGACCGGTGCTACGCAGCTCCGGTGTTACTAGTACCACTTATCTGGCGCAGCACCTTCGATTGCAATCGGATACATAAACTGTGGGGCCGTTGAACTTATTCGCTTGCCCCATCGGATGACAGGAGATCGTCGATCGAGGATGTTTGTTGTGCCTCAATCCTGTTTTTTTGCTTTCACCCTTACGCGAACGGCACAGGCAGCTAGACAATTCACAAAGGGTGCTGGAGATCGAGTCTTTCAGGCAGTCCAGTCGCTCGCTTGAATTGGTCGACACCCGCAACTAGTGCAGAGTTGCCTGTCACACTAAGTCGGCAAACCCCCAATTCCAGCCCCCTCAACCCCAAAAGCGGCACTTCTGATATTGGTCAAATCTGACCTGTCACTTTTTTTATGTTGTTCTCCTTCTCTCCGCACCCCCCTCTCGGGTTTTTCCCAACTCTCCAGTCAAAGATTGAGAACGAGTTGCTCTTGCTCCCCTCCCCAGAAGGATTGTCCACTCTTGCCTAAATCAATCTTACCCCTCCTCCTGAGTCTTTCTTGCTCGAGGTCTATCGCTTCTCTTATTGAGTTCCCTCGTATTAGAGCGCGCACGCAAAGTTTCATCATCTACACCCCCCGTTGACCCCTCCCCCCCTCTCTCCCCCGCGCAAAGGAGGGAAAATGGACTCAATTTACTGTGATTTTTCAATCTTCCATCAACCAGCACATCTCGATCACCTCTTCACGATTCAATACCGTAGTGCGGAAGCAGCGACAAATGCAGACAACTGCAGCCAATCCGAGGCTGACATTCCACACCTTGGAGGGGCGCCACACCGCAAGTTTAACCATGAAAGACACTGCATCTAACCTTCCGTACTCGATGCAGAATCTCCCCAAGTGCCCGCAGCTCTGGTCATTCTTCACTCTGTGAATCGCGGTTGAGCCCCGGAAGGGGGTTTGGTGGGGAGTTTGCTTTTTTTTTTTTTTTTTTTTTTGTTGGCGACACTTTATGAATGATGGACAGTGCATCTTGCATATGCCTGCAAGCGCTTGACGTTCTTAATATGCATGCCAGCTTACATCATAAAGAGCCGTCTACTTGTGTTGTCCCAGATCAGAGAACAGCTCACCTCATCCGTCCCCTTCCTGTGGGGAACGGCTGCCATGCGCATTTACACTGCAGTTGTCACTTCTTTGGTTGGCATCTGACACTTCAGGCATGATCATGTAGGGATTCGTCGAAAGATGGGATACAGATCACAGTAGAGCCTACCAGCAGCTTGCTCTTCGAGTCATTGGGCTTTCTGGGCATGTCGCACCGCGAGGCACAACTCGTTTGACCCCTACACAGGAAACCTGACTGGATAATCTCCGGCATGTGGCTTGGGCCCGATGGTCCGATGTGCGGTTATAGTACCCTACTTCCTCGGTGTATCTCGGTAGAAAAAGCCATCTGGAAGGCTGTATACCTAGCTTATCGTCTATTGGCAGGGGTTGATCACCGCACTTTCATCGCTGATGCGCCACCCCGAACAATTCCTTTGTAGTCTCAATGTCACCATGCCTGCAGTCGCTACTAGTGATAGTGAATAAGTTTAACCCCGGTCGCAAGCGCATGGTCAGCGAAGCAGCACTGGCGTAGCCCCTGTCACCTTCAACACATCACAGGAAGAGAATTACCCCCGTTGTGTATCTCCTTCTAGCCTCGTGCATCTTCGATATGCTCATCGGAGACCCTCGACGTGATGCTCTCATGGCCCTTTTCTTTGCCGGGCTGGACAACCTGGCTCACCTGGGAGACGACAACGTGCGATGGCGCGGTCCGGTGTCTCTTTCTCTCCTTCACAAGCTCCTTGGACGCTTGCACCGCGCTCTTGTCCAGATTAGTGAACAAGTAATCTATTTCTTCAAGGGTAAAGTTCGCCGTCTCGGGATAGCAGAAGTAGATCAGCGGGACAAAGGCCAAGTTCGTACACATGAAGATGAGGTAGGCTTTCCACTGCAGGCGATTGATGATGATCGGCGTAATCATGACGACGAAGAAGTTCTTTCATCCAGCACCACCATCAGTATGGATTTCGGGGGCCCCCATGGTGGGTGGTTGATTTAGAATAAAATGTGACTTACCCAAATCCAGTTGGACGAGATCCCGATAGCCGTGCCCTTTGCGCGCGCATGCAGAGGCAAGATCTCCGGGACATAGCACCATGGGATGCAGTTGACGGAGGCACCGAAGATGAGCATGTAGAGGAAGAAGAAAGCCACCGCCGCGGACGAGGTCGCATGCTCGTTGGCGTGGCCTTTGAAACTGAGCAGGACGGACACCATCATCATGCAGATCCCCAGGCCGAATGAACCCCAGATCATGGGCGCTCGGCGACCAACCCGGTCGACGAAGAAGGTCGGGAATATACTGCCCACCACGAACATGATCTGGACACAGCCTCCCAGGATCATGGAGAGGTTCTTGCTGAGGCCGACGTTGCTGTTGAGCACGGTGGGGATGAAGTAGCTGGGGACGTTTGTTAGCCGGGGAAATCTGCGGACTTGAGACCTGGGGATGTCTGGATCAGATCATACACGACGAGATTGATGCCGCCAACTTGGTTCATGAATTGCATCCCGTAGGCAAGAAGACTTGTGACCGGCGAATTAGATGACACACCGGTAATTTTGAAGGAGATCAGACTTACACTCGATGGCCTGTTGAGACCTTGTCATGTTTGAGGATGTTCCTGTAGAGGTTAGCAGGGCGCGCCTTCCCCCGAACTATACCCACGAGAACAACATACCTCCATTGGAACTCCCCATGTTGCGTCTCCACGGCAAGGGCTTCCAGGATCTCTGCCTGCTCGGCAAGGATCTTCGGGTCATCTTTCGGACGACCGTAGACATCACTGAGGATTTGCAGTGCTTCGTCGCGACGACCTTCCTTGTAGCAGTATCTCGGAGACTCGGGCAACCCGAACACGAGGATGACCACCACCTTATCCGAGCGTCAGTCTTGCGTCTCGGTCCCTAGATGAGAATAGGATCACTCACAAACGCAAAGAGCATCTGGCATGCAATAGGAAGTCTCCAAGCGATTTGACCGCCGACGAATCCCATACCATAGTCGAAGAAGTAACTGCATGTGGCGCTCAGCATGACAAAAAAAGAATAGCCTGCAATGGCGCCCGGTCGAAGCGACTTACCTGATGACAATTCCCACACCCACTAGGAGGGGTTCGCTGCAGACAAGCCGTCCGCGCTTGTTGGCCTCACATAGTTCTGCCTGGTACATGGGCACTGTGGATGTCTCGATCCCAGTGCCAATGCCTGTGACAAAGCGACCGATCATCAGATGCGGTACTGAGAAGGCGGAGCATTGCAGAGTAGCTCCAATCTGTCGGGAGGTTAATCGATCATCATCATCTTCATCAGCTCATGAGCGATTCCCGCCCCATGGATGAAGGGAAAACTCTGGGACCGGAACGAGAGCCTACTTACTATGACCCAGACCATAGCAAACCACATTGCTCTGCGTCTTCCCAGCCGTTCTGCCAGCATGAAGTTAACGAGACAGCCGGCAAAGCAGCCCAGGTTGTAGATGGAGACAATGATGCCTGTGAGGCTGTCATTGGGATGATTCATGGTGTCGAGGAAGTCATCGTTCTCCACGATCCCGGAGAAGACACCCTGATCGTAACCTGGAGGAGAAGATGGGTGAGTTGGAAGTCCGTCTCAGCTGCTGCTGTTGAAGCAGGCGTAGGACTGTCTTGACCTACCGAAGAGGATGAAGGCCATTCCACAGGCTGCCCAAATGGCGGCCTGTAGGGCGAAGCCTGTCCCAAATATATTGATCTGCACCATTTTGCTCCTATTTTGCTCGCTGTTGTATGTAGATGTTCACAAGACATCGCGTCTGATCGCGTGTAAGATGAGTGGCTGAATGCAAGGTATATATGTACTAGCCCCTGCGGAAGAGAACACCCAGTGGCGTTTTGCTACCAGCCATTTGGACCAGCATGTTAGACGATTAGCCTGGCAGGAGACCAACCTATCTGGCTCTATGGAGAGCAATTGATCTCGTCATCGATGGCTGGTGAGTCGGACGAGAGAAGCCGAGAAGATGGAAGTAACATCGATCATCCATGATGATTTGAGCCGAGACAGAAGAGTCGGTCACGGGATGTCCCGATCGGGCAAGAGGAGGCTACGGCAACCGAATGTTACCCCGGAGTGCTGCTTCAACCCCGCAATAGGACTAAACTCATCCCACAACCTGCCCATGGGGGATCTGCGCTTTGGCTGACGTTCCTGTCCATGTTACCTTGAGGAAGAGGAAAAGAACGAGATAATTGGCGAATGTCTGACAGTCTGACAATCTGGGGAAAGCGAAAGTCACGAACAGCAGGTTTCCATTTCCATACCCCGCGCTGTCGATCGCACTAAAGCCGAGGTGGCCCTTTCGAAATCGGTTGTCTACCAAGGAACTTGGAAGAGAACGAACCCCTCCCAGGTTGCCTCGCAGTCTGTCTTCAGCTCAGCAGCAGCAGTAGCAGCAGCAGCAGCCTTCTCGTTTCTTGTTACATCCCTTATTGCTTGTCTAGCATGATCTAGATTGGAAAATCGGGTCCGAACCAGGGAAACCAAGGAAAGGATGGACAAGCGACCCATGCCGGTCAAACAGGCCATTGAGCCTCCCCCAAAGCGGCAGCGTCTCGATGATGCTCAGCATAAGCAATCCCAGCCGCCAGAGATAGAGATCGGTCTCGGCCCCTTGTTAGCTCACAATCTCAACGGTCGTCCATGCAACCTTGACGGCGCCAATCTGCACAGTTCTCCCAATTCGGGTGGTGATTGCGGCTCATTCCAATCGCCGGCGGCTGGCAGCTGGACGCAAGATGGCTTCTCACAAGACCCGGACTTTCTGGCGTCCCAGGAAGAACTGCGATGTTTCCTTTTTTCCCTGGCCAATTCGGCGGTTCCGACCCGGGCATCTAGCCCAGACGCGGCCGGAAGTGGGGATTCCCTGGAACAATTGGTTCAACCCCTACCCAAGGACAGTAGGGATTCATGGCATGCCCCACTATCTGAGGGGAGACATATTCAGTACCTCAAGAATTATGTTACTGAAGTGGCGCCATGGGTATGTCAATCTTTTTTTGCCCCTTGATCACGCGCACTAGCTTAGCTTGATGCTGGCCATACTGATAACGTATCGATCAAATCTTCTGTAGCTGGACATGTTCGACTCACAATGCACCTTCCGCCATCAGATCCCTGCTCTTGCTCAAGAATTCCCGGCTCTTTCTTATGCCATACTTGCTCTCTCAGCAAGGCAGATCGAACGTAAGAATGGCGTTCGGAATTGGTATGATAGTCTTGAATTGTACCAGGAGGCGATTCGGCGGTTGAGTCCACTTCTCCAGGTGCGCGACACGAAGGTTGTCGCAGCTTGCGTGCTTCTTTGCTGCCTGGAGATGATGTCGGCTCGGGCACAAGATTGGCGCCGTCATCTGGAGGGGTGCGCCGCGTTATTCAGTGCGTTTGGTATCCACGGCTTCAGCCAGGGGGTTTTACAGGCGATTTTCTGGTGTTATGCAAGGATGGGTGAGTCTCTCTATCTATTGTGACTGCAGCTCTCCGTGGTAGAGCAGATAGTTCCCCGAGAGAAAACTTCCTAATGGCTTGTGTTAGACCTCTGCGGTGCACTCATTTCTGATGGCACGCAAACTACACTCCTACATCCTTGCAAGTGGTTGCCTCCAGGCTGTCAAGACGAGGATGCATATCGACTTTTCCAGAGTGTCAAATCTCCGGACATGCACGCGAATTACGCAGTCTATCTGTGTATGAAGGCGACACAACTTGTTTCGGATCGCACAAAATTCGTCGAGTTGGGCGAAGACAATGGCTGTACTACCGAAGAGTTTCAGACCCGTTGGCTTTTGCTCTGGAACGGCCTCCAGTGCTGGCTGTCGGAGCGGCCAGACGAGTTGCTTCCAGTTCAGACTGTCAGCCGCAAGCCTTTCCCTCATATCTTGTTTGTCCACTGGGCTGCGATATCATCAAATCAACTTTATCACACTGCATGTATATTGCTGTTGAAAGTGCTGCCGAAGGGTGTACGGCTGCCGCGATCACCGGCCCTCTTTCCGCTATGGCATGCACGCCGAATCTGTGGTATCTCGCTGGCCAATCCACATCAAGGATGTCTGAACAATTCAATCCAGCCATTGTGGATTGCAGGTCAGCTCTTCAGTCACAGATCGGAACACAAAGAGATCATCAATCTGATCCGAGGTATCGAGGCTGAAACTGGCTGGGGAACATGTTGGCGGATCCGCGATTTGGAATCTGCTTGGGGCTGCCGATAACGTTTGCATGATTGAGCACCATGTCTATGATATCTTGCCAGGTAACATCACACTACAGGCGAAGCAGGTCAGACGCCATCCAGAAACGACCAGTCCTGCTGTAGATCGCTCAGATACTGGCCTATATGCCACCCAGTGATTGAGTAAATTCGCTCAAAGCCCTGCAGAATTGCTTTCTGCTGGGATTCGTGTGTCATAGTCCGCGCAGAAACGAGGAAGGAGGCGACCAGACAAGGATCCCAGCAGTCACGGCAGTCATTGTTTAGTGCAATGCCGCAAATTCGCTGCGAATGCCAGAGAGGAGAGAGAAATCGAGCCTGTGGGTTGAGGAGCGCGGTGCGTGGCTTGCATTGCAGAAGCAAGAGCGCAGCGGTGTGATAGAGCTGGTTGCAGTATGCGCCCACCCCATTAGCAAAGACTACCAGAGGAAATCCACTCCCGGTATTTGAGATATTGTCATCGCCCTCCAGCTCAACCAATGGACGAAACTCTTGCGGCCGTGAAGCATACCACCGGTCTAGTTCATCGAACGCCTGGAGCCAACTGTCCAGAACCTGATGGCAACCAGGAAAGTTGCGTGGGCTGAGCTGTTCATGACATACCATCAATGCCTTTCCACAGAGCCAAAGAAGGACACGTGCATAAAGCGAGACTCTTTCATGAGTATCATGGGTACGCGAAAGCAGTTCCAGATTTGGCACGGGACCGGAGGGAATTGGGATCTGAAGGGCCGTGTCATTCGCGAGCGCTACACTCAAGTCTATCTAGTATTAGCAAAATTACCATTCCAGGCAGCTTAGCACATCGGACTAACCTAGTCTGAGAAACATCCAATAAATAGACGATTCGATATTCGATAGCAAAGAATGCTCAAGCAGAGGCTCTAGCAAGCAGAGGTTGTCATTCTGCAAGGTGCTCCAACCGTAAGAAATGTCGGATACTAAAAAATGCAACCTCTCTAATATCAACAAAAGCGCCATCTCAGTGAGTTCAGGAGCAAGCCCAGACCCAAGGTGTATAGGCCTGAGTAAAGGCCTTCCACGACTGAGTGCATTTGGCTGTTGGTGATTCTGGTGAATGCAAGATGCTTCCGATAGCATCAACAACGCCGACAAGATCTGCTCAGAGCGTGTCGCCATTCGAGTAACTATGATCCCAAATGGATGTTTCAGGTCGCAAATATCTAGCTGTGACATGTCCTGATTTAGCCACTGGATTACGTGTGCCTTCACCGACCGATAGCAGCAGATAGGTATATTCACCCAGGGAGCGACAAAATACCGATAATGACGCATAAGTTCCAACTTCCGCTCCTCCTCATCCATGATTGAAGGCGATGAACCCAGCTCAACCATCTGCGACATTCCAACAGCGACAGAGTCCTCGCGCCGTCGTGCCAGAGTGCCAGTGTCTGCTTGGTTGGCTGAAGTGGCCGTCATGACGGGCGAAGAGTCCGCGATCGGCTCCGGTGTCTCGAGGTAGGAGATATCATGAACCAGCGCAAGCTGATCAGTCGCGTTTATACTCGAGCCCAGCGCAAGAAGACCCTGAACAGCCGATGTATCCCTGTGACTAAAAAAGCCGTGGCCGCTCCCGAGCAGTACCTCATCTTGCTTATCTTCAAGATGTTGACGGTCATCACCGGCGCGATCTGCTGGACCCTCTGCCCATAGAGGACTTGCAACTTCTCCACTCAAACCGGACTGGACGTCCCCTCCCTCTTGTTTCTCCTTAGCACGCTCATGATGAGAACCCGCCGACCGGGTACCAAAGGAAGAAGACGAATCCAATTCCAACTCCTCTTCTTCCTCACCAACAGTATTGCCATCTGCCCCATTCAAGGCCAGAGGATCCTCTTCAATGAACTAAAAACATAAGTATTAGTAAACACGCGCAACTTCTTATCGGAGATTCCTAACAGAAACAAAAACCACATCTCAGTGTACAAAAACCGAGATTAAAGGAGCTCAGCAGCAGCAAACAACAATAAAATGCCCAAGAAACCAAAATCAAAACGCACCCGCAAAGTCTGAAACCGTCTCTTCGTCGACCTCGGAGTCCGTAGTTCCTTCGCAGGCACCGTGTACGTATTCTTCGAGAGAAAGGTGACTTGCATCCCATAGCTGCAGACGAAATTCTTGTCCACGCAGTTCTGGCAGCGTGGTTTGCCTTCATCGCCTGTTTGTGTTTCCCGGAGAGAGACAAAATGTTAGTAGGAAGTCACTGCAAGCATCAAGAGTCCAGAAAAGATTGTAATAAGTTGTATCCATCCATGGTTTTCATAAGGATGGTGGTAGTGGGTAGGTGCTTAGAGAGAAAAGATAGGAGAAAGTGGGACACAAACTCACACTTGCGCCGTCGCGTGCGACATCGCAAGCACCCGGTCCTACATCTGGTAAATTTAGGCGGCGTGGGTGTCACTTTGGCTGCAGCTGCTGCAGCTGCTGCATCTGCCATGGAGATGGTCGGTTGGTTGTAAGGAGGTACACCCTTTTGAGGTGTTGAGAATCTGGATTGATCGAAGGGTAAGAGTTGTGTAGAATTCTAGCGATTCGGGTGCAGGATAGGAACGGAGAAGGGACCGATGGATGGGGAGAGTTAATGAATCCAGTAGGCCTAAGCGCGGGGTAGAAAACAAACCCCCGACTGCCGGCCCCGGGCGGCGCTTCGAGTTTCCATTTCGAGATTACCCCAGCTTTTCCAAATTCTCCCCATTCGCGAGCCGATCGGCTGGGACCACGTCATAATTGAGATGCGCTTGCAACGACACTAAAGTCTGGCTTGTAGTATCTATGATGATCACGTCTGCCTATATTCTACCTGTGTTGGTTATGGTAATCTGACGGCCTAAAAGAAGTAACACCATTGTCGCAGTGCACATTTACGCAGGATAAGAGGCTCCAAAGGGACAGTCCGATTAGGATCTATATGCCTCCTCTCCCAACCCAATTCAATTTCATGGAACGCCGAAGTTTATGGATTGTTAGTGTTTTTTCCACTTACATTATGCAGCGCTTTGCGGATGACCTGCTGTCAGCGCCTGAACATGGGTGTAAACCCAATCCACATTCCCAACTTCGACCCGAGATGACTGTAAACTGATAGTGTCAAGTCATGGTCTTCGTGATCCGGACCAGCAGAGCACCACCAGTATCCACTCCCGCGCGGTCATATATATGAACAAAACGGTAGCCATGCTGAAGTCTGCTGAGTCGTATGCACGCCCACCCAGCAAGCGAGTCACGGAAAAACTCGTCATCCTTGATCTTGAACCTATCCCATCATCAGCATCCACCGTCCGAAAGAACGGTCGTCAGAGAGCACATACCTGACAAAACTAAGATCTTCAACGACGTTGGGTATGGGAGGGAACTCGATCTTCTGGCCCTCGAAATCCGGATTCGACCCCGTTGCACTTTTGGTGGTTCGCTTGTAGCCGGCTTTTTCAGAGTCTGATTCATCATCGCTCGCGGAGTCGCCAGAGTCATCATCTGGAGTATCAAGATGAAGGATACAAGACACATAGGGGTGGAACTTCTTTTCGCTCGTCTGGCCTGGCGGCAGTGGCAGGTTTTGACCGGCGATGAATTCAATGGACAGGTTGAGTTGTCGTCGTTGGACGATGATCGAGTCCGCGTCAGAGCTTCGATACCCGGGGGGCTTGAGTACCCAGCCGTGCTCGCCTGCAAACATCCCGTGGTTGAGCATCATTCCCTTGTCGAGATTCTGCCAATTCAATGCTACCATCTGGGCGCCGCGCCGCCAGAAGAAACCGGGGTCCATATTGGAAGACCCTAGGCGTAGCCCTTTGGGGTATACGCGCATGAAGAAGTGGCGGTTGTGCTCGAATAGCGCATTAGGGTCCTTTATATGTGCCTCTCGTACTGCATTTTCCGAGAGAGAAAATACGTGACTTGGCACTTTGGCCTCTGTGGTGTTTCAAAGTGAGCAACAATTCATGGAAAGCCAGTGGATTAATCTCAACATACCTGGCTGCTTAAAGTCCTTGAAGTGGAAACCTTTGGTGAAAACGGCCAGCTTGCTCAGAGCATGCACGATCTTCGACGGTTTGTGGGGAGCCGAAGCAGGGGCTTCAGGCGTCTCAGGAGATGTGCTCGCGGGGCCTAGTGGTGTGCCTTGCTGTTTGAGCGTCTGAACATGCTTCAAATATACTTGCTTCTCCTCTTCCTCCGGGTCCTCGTTCTTGTCCACGCTGTCTGGGGCAACGTATTTCACCTTGATGAGAATTTTCCGCTTCAGCTCCTCCAGAGGCGGCGGCGTCTTGGTCGCTTCAATCTCAGGCGTCACTTCGATCAACATCCCCTTCCACGACTCTTCCATAATCTCCACCATGGTGTGCTGCTGTTCATGACAGGCATGCACCTCAAGACTCACAATCACCGGCAGGTCGCTGGTCACAAACGCGCTATCGCGGATGGCGTAGCATACATCTCGAAAACTGGCCTCCTTGGTGAGGGTGTGGCCGTGGAGGACGCGCGGCTCTGGACGTGCCGGGCCCTGAGCTGTTTCTTCGGGAGGCTTTTCCGTCGTTGTAGGTTCGCTTTTAGACGACGACAATCGATGATGGCCCAAGAAGCCCTCTAACTTGCCGACTTCTTCGGAAATCGCTTGAAGACGCGGGTGGCTCTCGGTCGCTTTTCTGAGTCTCTCCATCTTCGACTTGCGACGGCGAGGCAACTGGGGCCTAGCGGCGCTTTCATCCGAGCTTGAGTCATCGCTACTACTGCTGCTGCTACTGCTGCTACTGGTGTCTTCGTCCTGCGAGCTTTCGGAGCTGCCCTTTCCGTCCCAGATGTCTATCTCGACACATCTTCCTCCACGAAGCAATACCTAAGACACATCAGCTGTCTGCTTTTCTTCCGCGTTAAGGCAGAGTCTCTTGGTATCGATGATGGCTCGACGTAAGATGGAACGTCGTGCGGATACTTTTATACAGTGTTGACGCGAGTTCCCTTCTTACAGCTGGCTTTTGAACACAACGAAAAAAATGACGGGTCCAAAGGGGCAACGTACATTGGTATAGGCACTCGCATCCGAGTCGCTATAAAGCTGATTGCCTGTCAAGTACGTATTATGACTGGAGGAGATATAGTAGTCCGTGATTGGAGCCGAGAGATCAGGCCGATCGACCGGCTTCAAGGCAGAGGCCGCGGGACTCGCCATGTAAGCATAGAATGCTGGCAAGGATGCCAGGGGATTTGTGCCTTCTTTGCCACTTGCATCTCGCGTGCGAGTCTCCTGTTGAATCTCCCTGACAAAGTCTGGCTGGGACAATGAAGTCAACGAGCTGTAGATTTTGTCCAGGTATGTGAGGACCGGAGGTGAGAAGGTGGGTCTGGTCTCCGCTTTGGTCACAGGCTGCGATGAGTCCAGAGTGACATTGCTGATATGTTCTGTGATTCCAACCATCTCTGTCTTTCTGTTGTGTTGTCCCAGCTTAGATTGTAGCCTGGTCCACACCGACTGGTTGTGATGCTTGCGGGCCGTGGTTGAAGGTGGGGGGGGATCACGAGCACTCGGATCAGAATGAGCCAAAGATAGCCGGCCGTGTGAAGAACGCGGGGGAGGCCCAGGACAGCGGAATCAATGGAATGGAAGATACAACTGAGAAACAATGAAGTAGCATGAAATGCTGGGAGTAAGGCTGGTGGAAGAAAGTTCCGGTTTGTTTTTTTTTTGGTGTTGTCTGTGAGAGTTTTTGGTTCTCCACGTGAAGTGGAGACGGATTGTTTCAACCTTCAAAACTAGCCTTTGTTGACTGGCCTTATAAGGATAAGGCTACTACTAGCTCTTCCTTTGCATTTTTATCACCCCAACTTTTCTGAGAATGAGGTATGACTGCTGTTGCTAATGACGTCTACATTGACTTCCGAGCTGAAGCAGCAAAGAGAGCAGACAATCAGGCATCTGGAGTGCTGCAAGGCTGCCTGTCCAAAGGCGATACCTTTCGAGTGAGGTGGGTGCGGGGCATTTCAGCACTGACGCTTTCTTCAGCCTTGTCTCGCAGGCAAAAAGACTACCCAGATCGATATGATCTGTCTGCTGCATGACCCAGCCAGAATATCTCTCCTTCTTTTTTCTGCCGAATTCTACTCATCCCTCAACAGTTCAGGGTAGGAGTCCACGATGCCAGCAGTGGTGCAAAGTAAAGTAGCGGTGAAGAATCAATCACGGGGTGACTCCCGACGGGTCGGTGGCAGGTCGCATTGAAGTCGCAAAAGACGATACAGTAGATGGATCATGGCTTTTCACGTTCATTCTCCAATAACATACTCACATCCCTCTGGTCCAATCCACACCTCATGTACTTTTCCCGCCGGCACATCCAACCTCGCGCCCACGCCGCACGTCTCCTTCTTGACCTTTCCTCCATGGATCGCAACATTATCCTCCGGGTACGTGATGGTCAGACTCCCTTGACGGATCAGATGGGTCGTCAACCCAGAGTGCGAATGAGGTGGGTAGTGCGCATTGCTGAATGACGATTTTCGTCAGCGGATCGCATATTCAGCATTTCGGTCTCGTCGTCGGTGGTAGGTAGACATACCTCCCATCTGACCAGGTGAAGACATGGCTAAATCCCCAATCCCGGACCATGCGCTCGCATTCTTTGCGGCTGCCGATGGGGTAGGTCTCGAGCTCGGGTGCAGTCATTGTGCGCTGAAACCTCTTCTTCTCCTTTGTACTCCGTCCAAGAGGGTCGTGTTTGGAGGTTTGATCTCTCCTTCGAGTTGCAATGAGAGCGGGGAAGGCGATCGATGGCAATGACGTCGTTGCGGTCTCGCATCACGTGTTTTTCCTCTTTGTCTTGACAACAAATCAGATCGAGACAAGAATGATCCTTTTAGTCCATTGATGTACATTTATGCTACTATTTACGATGCTTTCAATCTCGACGGTTTCCAATTGAATAATTCTCAACGCTCTTGGTGTGTGTAGTCTATCAAAGAAAGTAGAGTTCCGCCAATCATTGCCCCAATGCTGTGACTTTTATACAACCAGGAGAAAGAGTGTGCAAACAAGCATGTGTGGTCGAATCGCAACGTCTTCTTGGAGACAGAAAGAGAGCTGTATGGGGAGTGATATCGAAGCTATGCGAGGGAAACACGAAAACAAAACATTGTCATCACATGATTATATGTACAACAAATAGGGATATTTATTTGAGGAAAAGAGCAACAATTATTGACAAGATCGGATACAATGAATAGAGCCAGGAACAAACAGGGTATAAGATCGAGCTGCAGCGGCATCAAAAGGGACAGTCAACCTGTCATTCAGACATTGTTGCCACCGTCAAGACCCCGGAAGTAGCTGGACTGGAGAAACTCGTCACGCATGACCAAACTCACGTCCGAGTTACGGTACTGCCGTAGATCCTCGCGTTGAAGTCCACGCAGTTGCTCTCGACCAGCCGTAGAGAGTGAGTGCGTGCGGGAGTGATGCCCGTTGCGATTGAGTACGGGGGAGAGCCGGCCGGTTGGGGAAAGGTGACCGTTGGACGACTTGTTACCCGCGAGCCCCGACCAAGAGAGGGTTTGACGAGGCGCAAAGACAGGCAAAGAGGCATTGCTCGGGAGAGGGAGGAAGGAGCTAGCGTCGGTAGAAGCATTGCTCAGGCTTGACCGGATGGACGACGGGCGTTGATTCGCATTCAGCATAGGGAAATTAGACACGGAGCTGTAGAAGCTTGACATGCCAGACGTAGCGGACGATCGCCAGGAGTTAACTGCGCTGCGTGGTATGGTAATAACTTCTTCGTCAATTGGCATAGTTTGCTGCAGAGCAGTGGCAACATCAGCGGGCTCACTAAGACTAGCGTTGGGGCGACTAGCCATGATCTTAGCGGACTTTCCGATCCAGAGCATCTGCTCATGCTCACGCAGGTACCGATCACCACTGAAGGACTTCTGCACAATCTTGCGGGTCATCATACCCAGCTTGCGGCGGTGTTCGCTCTTATCATACATGCGGCGCGTGATCTTAGCAACATCCTCCGGGGTAGGTGCAGAAGTCAAGACAGGAGGTGCCTCGGTATCGTCGGCAAATTTACTCCATTCCCCAAGAAGTCCAAGCATGGTGATCTGCGCGCGGGCGAGAGCCAAGGCATCGTTGGGTGCAACCACGGCGCTGAAGCGGGAGAAGTCATCGGGGTCACTCAACACACGCAGGGAGGCTCCGACATCAGTACAGACAACGGGTGCACCGGTAAGAGCAGCCTCGCCCAGCGCCAGCGGTAAACCTTCAGACAAAGACGAGTTCAGGAAGAGCCAAGTATTCTCCAGCACCTTCATCGGGTCAGCAGTACCACGCAAAGTGACTCGACCACGAAGTCCCTTCGAAGCAATGATCTCTTGGCATTCGGTGGAATATGTTGGGGCCTTGTCGATAGCACCGTAAATGTCCAGATGGTAGTCATCGAACTTCCATTGATTGATGATGATATCCGCGGCAAGGAGCGCTGTCTTGATATCCTTGGCGTACCAAACGTGGGACAGCATAGTGACTGTAGGGCGCTGCGATTTGATCTCCTTAACTGGAGCAAACTTCTGCATGTCGGTGATACCGTTGACCACGGGATCAACCTTGCGACGGAAGACATTGCGATGCTCAATGGTTCCTTGACAGGTACCGATTTCGACTTCCCAGCCTGGGTTGAAGAAGTCGGCACATGGCAGGATGATATCAGCGTGGTGCAGCGTGAGAACCGATGTGACTCGCATCAAGCCCAGAAGAGCATTGCGAACAAAAGGCGAAAGCTTGCAGAGGGCAGAAGAAAGACAGAGATTCGTCTCACGCCAGCTGATGGCATGGTCCCAGATTTGCAATGTACAGTTTCTCTTGATCTTGCAGACAACTCCATATGACGCACTGACGCTGTGATGTGATGCCTGGAAAACATTGGGAATCTTTTCAGGGATGGGAATAGAGAAGATGAAGAGATAGCGATACCAGAGCTCAAGGGCTATGTCGAGAGATGCCAAGGTAGGAAGCTCAGTGTCGTACCATTCTGACGAAGGGGTTGCATTGGGCATCTCCTGAGTCAGCCAGAGATCGCGCCAGCTCTCCTTCACAATTTCACTGTCCCAGATCTGAGTCCAATGACGCGAGTCTTGGAAATAGGTATTAAGGTTCACCAAGGCTCTAGTTGCCTGCTGGATATCAGCCTTGGAAAGGTGGATAGCACGGGCTCCCTTCACCAAGGCCGTTAAGATAGGGATGAAGTTCATCTTGATGTCCATCTCGCTGGCGGAAGTGACGTTCTCGACCTCGGAGTCAAGTTTGTTCTTGAAGAGACCATGCGTGGGCGTGAGGAAGTCGAGACCCCAAAGAGGAACCACTTTCAGTGACAAAATGTTCTGCTCTGTCTGATGCTTGGGAACACCAAAGTCGTTTGCAGATTCGCAGATCATATGCCATTTGATCGTTCGCAGGGAATTGATCATATCACGGCGGCAAGCAGAAACGCCGCCTCCTTCGTTTGGCCAGGTACCATTGTCCGCAGCCATGACGTGCAGTGATTTCTCGGTATCAGAGCCGAAGTCCTTAGATCTTGTGTTGACAACAGCATCACCGCCTGGTCCGAAGTTGAACAGATCACTTATCTTGACAGCCAAGGGAGTCCAACTGGAGATGTTGTCGTCCAGGTCTGCACTGGCCGTGATTGTATCGGCGCGTAAGTCCAGATATTTCTTGGCTGAGGCAAGATCACCGCGATCTCTGCTGCGCCAGTAAGGAGCAAGCGTCTTGTCTCTTCTCAGTAGACGTTCGTCCATCCACCGGACAATAATGCCGTCGAAGTCCACGCGGTCCTTCCAAGCCTTCCAGATCAACGAACGTGCACGAGAAGTGGACACGGGAAAGCGCTTCGTTGTCAGACCGAAGAACCGGGTAAGAATACTTGAACTCAGACTGTCACAATACAGAAGAGGATTGTCATGCACAAAGCTAGTGTACCGGGGTTTGGCCAGTACAGCGAGGTAGTCATGCTCGATCATGGGTGGGGTCTGAATTTTCTGTCCGTTGAGTGTGGTGAAGATCGTAGGATGAAACTTGTGATCGTAAAGCCAGCGAGACTCGTAGACGTCCGCACCCTGAACAAACGAGGCTTCCGTCACCTTGGAATGAGGTATCCAGCGATCAATCTTCTGGGGATGGCGCAGAGGAGGCGCACACCAAGAGACAGTACAGGTGATATGCGAGAGAGCGAATTCTGCCCGAAGCAACTCATCTCCAAACCGAGGATTCTTGCGATAATGATACTTGAACCGAATCAGATTGCCGTCCTTCATGTAGGATCCTGCTTCGATGAGGCCCTTCTTGTTGTACTGCACACTCTGAAGATGATTCTCTCCGCGCACACAGCGGCGTCCCATTGGAACCTTGGCAGAAGACAGCTTGGACAAGGAGAATCCCTTCTTGGACGGGGCACGGTAGTCATAATGATACTCATTGATCACCTTTCCACCTTTAAATTCTTGTCTGACCATGAGTAGCATATCCTTGGAATAGACGCAGACGTAGCTGAGACTTTTCGTGCCTTCCGGCTCGGCCTTGTGCTGTCCCGCGTAGTAGTAGATCTTGAACCCTCCATCAGCTTCGTCGTGCTTGAAAGCAGAGAATGTTCCGTCCAAGCTCTGAATAACAAAGCGGCTCTTCTTGATGCTGATAGTCATTCCTTTCGTCTCATCCCAGAGCTGTTTCACATTGCTGCGGCCGTGAAACAGAAAGAATGAGAGGCCTAGATTCTGCACGATCCTCGAATACGACCAAATCAAGCTCAAGGCCAGGGTGGCTGGTACACGAATGATAGCATGACGTTGACTCATGACATGGTCGAATTCTCGCTGGAATTCAGGATCAGCAATGAGAGCAACAACAATGAACTTGATCGTTGATGCCAATGAATAATAGAGTGAGTGCCAGGGCTTTGCAAAAAGATGAATGATTGCAGGGAGCCTCTTGGAGACATAAGGGATGTAGTCTGGAGTCTCTGGATCTTGGAATACAACAGCTTCGCCTGTGCCATAGTGTGCATAATCGAGAATGCTGACAGCGGTAGCAGCACCAAGGTTGCAACGCGCAACATGCACATCAAGATCCTCCGTGTCGAATTGGCAAAGACGCCCTTCAAGCCATTTCCGATCCTCGCTTGACAGCTGACAAGGCTGGCCAAGGCAACGGTTCAAGAGAGAGTCTCTGATGTCCTTGGGAAGCTTTTCCCAATGAGCATCACATTCAAAGCCAAGGCACAGGTGTTTGAGTAGTTCCTTTTTAGCCCAGCGAACAACGACCGCGGTGTTAGATTCCGCTCGCAGCTGGCGAGCCATAGTTTCAGTCACACCGGCGGTGACGAGAGACTCGGACAGAATAGCATACTCGTGAGGGATATGCAGCATTGATTCGGCGACGGCATGAAGCAATGTTTCAGCAATGACTTGGCAATTGGCACTGACATCAATGCGCTGATCGAGTCCACGTCCAACACCAATGGCAATGCTGAGGTGTGTCGTTGTGCTGCAGCTGAGCGCGTGAATGCCAGGGCCCAGTGACCCAGACGGCACAAGCTCCACGGTAATTTCTCCTTTTCCCCACGCTCCAAGGGCAAGACTGATCAATTCCTCTGCTCTTGGGAAAGCATCCTCGATTCTAAGTTCCTTTCTGCGAGAGAGCAAGATTTCCTTGACTTCGACACCAGGATGATTTTGTGGCTCCAGTTTCAAGCGCGCGTCCGAAGGTATTTGTGCGATTTTCTCGTGGAAAGTTTGCAGTTCTTGCTGGGACCACTCGGGGTCGGCCCATGGAGCCGTGTAGGCATGGAAAGTCTTTCCCAATTCAACAGGTGAGTCAACCTTCTTGGGCATTCCCATCTTCGCAGAGAAAAGGGAGAGGAAAGCGACTGTCCAAGTGGCCGAGCCTAATCCGATTACTTGAGAGTAAGGGAAATGCGGGAGACAAACTTTGAGGGCGATTCCCAAAGGTAAGCCGACAGCGCATCCAAGAAGAAGGGTCTTGAAAGCATGAGGACCAGTAAATATTTTGGTATACTGATACCAAAGCAACCCAGTGTAAGCCAAAATGTACGCGCAGAACGTAATCATGGCTTCGACAGAGGACTGGAAAGTCCACAGAAGAGCTGTAGCAAGCGCAAGGCTCCATACATGCCACATAAGGAATCTGAAGAGGACTCTCCAGTAGACCTTCCTCTTGAATCGTACGTCCCGCTTCTGCGTCGCACGGATGTCCTTTGACATAGGGACAGCTACGGACGAGTGCTGGCCAACGAGGTCGTGTAACTCTTGGGCTTTGGTGTCAATGAGAACAGCACCAATCAAGTAATAAGCCAGGCCGAATCCCACAGCCATTCTCTGTGACTCATTGTCAGCAGCGGACAGCAAACCATTGCCATGTCCGCCAGACAGAAGTTGCACCCACTTGTCCAGGAGGGCCACGACAAAGTACAGAACACCACAGCCAATCTCTCTGCTCGATTGCCGCCATTGAATGAAAGCGTTGTGCAATCGAATGCCCTTCTGAGAGTTCCTGAGCACATCCAGGCCGACTTTGGTTTGGATATTCCAAGACGAGCTGAACGGAATCGGCCTGGGTACATCAGCGTATCTGCAGTACCAGTCCAAGAGAAAATTGGTAGCATCCCAGTCTCTAGCCAATTCAAGCACCAGGGTATCCGTTGTGGGCTTCTTATAGAAGTGGCGGTTCTTCTCTGCCATCACGTCCCTCAGAAGCGCTTCTCTGGACAGCTTTAACACGGCCGGGTCGCTGAGGTTTCCAAAGACTTTCTCGTCGTTGTTACCATAAGTCGCAACATACCACTTGCGGATCTCTGTGTCATCGGTTCTTCTCAAGCTCTGGTACCAAGTGACCCACTTAGAGGCGATAGAGCGAAGGCCAAAGAGTAGGACTATGATAAAGACATAGATGACCGCGAGGTAGATGGCTGAATCATGGCCGGTGAAAGTTGTCACGATGGGCGAGATGAACAGAATTGGAACACACGCGAAGATGATTTTGCGGCCTGATAGGAAAGTGGAGCCGGGATAGCTGAAACTGGCGAGGGAGGCAAAGCTTGAGAAATAGATCGTCAATGCGATCAGATACAGGTAGAAGATGATTCCGGCCCGTGCGCTCTCTGTGGCAGAAATGGCAATGAACCCAATGAGACCACCGGCGACGGTGAAAGCAATTCCGGCAATCAATCGGATGAGGACAAACATGTTGGCGGCGGCGAATGCCATTGAGATCAGATAATAGGGACCTCCACAAGCGATCCACGTGCCGATAGCACCGGACAACAAGAGCGAAATCATTAGAGCGATGGTAGCACTCTGCTGCTCATCATAAGTCATGTAAGCAGAAAGATACAGCCCGCGCCCGATAATGGTGAGCAAGAGGATATCGATCAGCGCAGGGAAAGCGAAGACACTGAGAAATGTGAATCGCTGATAGCCACGCATAGGCTTGACCTTGTCGGCTGGATTCACATCGATCTGTGCGCCAGCGTACGATGTAGCCATATCAGGAGCACCATTGATCCAATTTGGCAGCTTTTCGTTCGTATAGCTCTTGCGAAATCGGTTTGACAGCAACTTTCCAAAAGCACTGGGAACCATGTCGAAGTAGGCTTCACAACGCGATCCAAGAGCGAAAGACTCAGCGAAAGCAGCGGCTTGGTCGGATTGATTGTTGAAGAGCGGGTTCCGGTCGGTCACTTCGGTGTAAATTTCATCCAAGGCGCCCTTTCTTGCCGCACAGAACAATGCGAGGGCCAGCATGTCCGTGTAAGCATCAATAGAAGGGGTTTGGACAAGCTGGCACAAAGCTTCAGAGATCTGAGCAAGTTCAAGCTCTCTTCGCTCGCGTAGTATATTGTTGAAGACAGATTCGGCCTCTTTGAATAAGGCGAGGCAGAGTGTCGGGGAAGGAAATTGGCAACCCTGCTCCTTATACCAAGTGAGACGGGTATCTACCACCATTTCTGGGGTAGCGGATCCCTCGAGATAGGCAGTAGTGTTCAGCTCCTTGAGCTGGGCCAGAGAAGGCAGGTCTATAAGTTGTCTGCGGATATAAGCACAAATGTCTTCGGACATAGGCCTTGGCGCGTCAGTCAAAGACAGATGTTGCAACAAGAGGAGTCGCTCTTCGGGGCTCAAGGCATCGATATCCTGCACAATGCGGCGGGGTAGACCCACGTCCTCGACAAGGTCCTTTGACCATTGCGCCAAAGCGGTTTCTGCCTCAAAGCAGATGTGGCGTGGGAATCCCTTTGCCGACAAGAATGTGTGCAAGACGGTACCCGTAAGACCTTGAGCATTCTTTGATGAGAATATATCGACTCCATCTGCATCCATCTGGTAGACAGCCCAGAAGCGAACATCGGTACTTTTACGTAGACCAGAATCCAATCCAAGATATACTCGTAGTTGGTCGGTGGAGGCCAAGGTCGCAAGCTGCTTAATGGCTGCTGCGAGCTGTTCAGAGGGACTCCAGTCGCACGAGGCCAAATTGTCATGGAACTGCCTAAGGAGAAGCCCCAGACTTTGCAGCTTAGAAGCAGGAACAGGATGGAGCAGGCTATGCGACTTGAGCCGTTGCTGGGATTGCAGGATTTCAGCGAATGCCAAAGGGGTTGCTTCAGAGCCTAGAGGGAAACAGCCTAGCTCCTTGAACTCGACGCCAGCCATGGAAATCGATAACGGGCTACCTTGCGATTTAACCTGAGCGACCCACTCTGGAGGCTCACGCAGAGAGCCAGTCGACTTGGCGCTGAGCTGCGACTGATAATCTGACGACGCAAGTAGTGTCTTCAAAGTCGGGAAGAACGGGATCAAAGAAGTCCAGGATTCATTGTCGACAGGCTGGCGTTCAATGTGAAGATTAGTGCGCCAGCGGTCCTGGGCCTTCATAATCTCGGCGTCTTTCAGCCACCCAAAAGAAGAAAGAGGCTCCAGAATTTTGACATTGAGAGCGGCGTTCTCAAGGGCGGATGCGCGGCCAATCCATGGGATTGCGCTATAGAAATTGCACCACTGCATTGATCTCTGAATTACCGCGTTGGAGAGCGAGGCGGTGTCGTCAATGGTCTCCCAAGCTATCACCAAAAAGTCACGCATACACGCCTCGGAGACGAATGCCTTGATCGTTGGATGTAATTTCTCCAGCTGGAAGTAATCCCGCTTCTGGCCGTCTGGGAGGATACTCGCATTCTTGATGACAAGCCCCGAAATTGCAGTCGTCTGTAATACATCCCGGTCTTGGAGAAACTTCGGTGGAGCTGTTTCGAGATAAACGGCCAAGCCAAGGTTGTTGATTGTCTCGCACAGTCTTGCAAGCACCCTTGACGTGAACTTGTCTTCCCAGTTAGCAAGCAGAACACCACTCAAGACCGATTCGCGAAAGCTCCCAGCCAAAACATTGCCAATTTTCTCGATTGCGGTCGAAGTAGTCTCTTGATTGAGGAGTACTGTGAGGTCAAGTCTACCAACAAACTGCTTGCCTTGCACTTGTGAAAGACCAGATACCACACCGGGCTTCAAGGGATCCACGATGATGAGATCCCAACGTTCGAGCAATTGACGGTGGGTCTCAGTCAGAGGACTAGTGAAGGACCCCAGGTAGACGCCCACAGAGGATGGCTTTTGTTTGCTGTGATGCGCAGTAGTAAGACCAAGCTGTTGAGTCGCAAGCTTGTCCAGCTGTTGAACTATATGGGCCGGCACCACCTCCTTACGGGGTCGCGACTAGAAACAGTATCAGACCGGAGCTTTTCTTATGTGATCTCAGCTTGCAGATGGACTATACCTTATACCATTCGGTGAATCTCTTGAAGCCGGAGTATGTGAGATAGAGACACCCACATACTACACTTGCCAGGAGGATGCCGATCAGGACCTATGACAGGTCAGTATGGGAAGGGCACAGTGTACAGGATTTACGTACAAACTGCCACCAGTGGCTTTTCATCCCAGCCCACCCGACGGGGGAGACGTCGAGGATTTCGGCCATCTCGATTAAAGATTAAGGCGTCCACAATAACGGCGCGAGAACGAGGGACATGTATGATGAATGAAGCAGAGCAGCGAGCGGACGCGATTACTATTAAGAATATAGGATCGTATATTCGGAGGAGGACAACGTCATGCCCTAAATCATGGTTGTAGGTCTCTTTGTTTGTGGTGTGGGATGTACCCAGTCTCAACCAGGGAAGAAGAGAAGGAATAAGAGAACGGTAGCTTTGTGTATATAAACGAATGGCAAGAACTGATGGGTAGGAAACGAGCTCTGAAAGGGTCGAAGGAACGGTGGCCGAAAAGGCTAAAAAAGCAAAATGCGAGGAGAAAATGCGAGCAGGGAAAAAAAGTCAGAATAAAGGCAGCGCCAGGTATAGAGGCGGAAGAAGAGGCCTGAGAAGCGTGATCGAGCAGCCGACAGCCAGCCTCTCCTGTATGTCTGACTCGATGACTGAGCAGGAGGCAGGATGTTAGGTCAGCCGCAGCAGGATGTCAGTTCCAGATATTTTTATTCCATCCAAATTAGTCCGGTTAGAGGGTGCGGGCAGTATCTGATCGGGGGCCACCTAGTCTGATGCAATCACGACCGGTGGCGCCCAACGCAGCTTCGGCCTCAAGGATGACCGAAATAGCCAAGCGTGTCAAAGTCCTTTGGATTTAGTTTGGCGCTAATTCTTTTGGTCTGTTTGAGAGTAAAAAGCGGCAGCTCCATATTGAGTAAGTGATGAGATGGTGCTGGGGCGGTTGCCATGCCATGCCATGGGGATGGCAATGGGGATCAACCCGGTAGCGTGGCACACCCATTCTCTCATCATTTGTGTAAAGCGGAACAAACCGAACGGAGACGAGAGGCAAATGGAACGGTACCATTGATGGCAGCGATTGATCCTTTTCCTTTTTTTCCTGTCTTTGAACAAAAGTGGGGAGATGGAGTGGGAGTGGGAGTGGGAGTGGGCAGCACAAGCACACACACACAGAGAGAGAGAGAGGTCGTTGTTGATGCATGGCCATGGCGATTGTTGCACCACAGTGAGTGCGGTGGAGATTGTCGATATGCGATTGGTCCTTTGAAGAATTTTCAGTCTGCCAGCCTGCCTTTTTTTTCCCTTGCGTTCGAAGTTAGTGGGTATTGCAGAGACAACCAGCCGGTTTGGTTTGTCTACTGAACGGTAGGTTGGAGGGGGAAACGAGACTGGATGAACCAAAAATCAAAAATCAATCAAACAGGAAAAGAGAAAATGAAAAAAAGATAATGTGGAGAAAACTGAGCCCGGGAGTTGATGCGGCTACTAAATTAAGCTTAGTGTTGTATCATTACCTTCAGTACGCAACAGCTCTGTATTCATCGTTCAGATGTTAATACGGTACTGTCAAACCAATTCTTTTACAAAAACACATCCACCGTTACACAGTCTCGTAATACTAAGCGAAAGGTCTCGTATCCGCTGGTTCCTCTTCCCTTGATTGACTTTCCCCCTCTTCCTGTTTCTCTTCTTCCCGGTTAGTCGATCTCCTACTACTACTGAACATGACCTCTATTATCTACCCCACACCATCAATCCAAATCTTCATGGTCTCAGTTCCTGATGGGCCCTCTTCTTAGCTTCCAGGCTCTGACTTGTTCTCCATTCTAGGACGCTAGAATGGCACTGCAATGGCCACCTGAATCTAAAATGGTAAACGGATGCTAACTGTACTGATGCTTTAGCGCTCCTTAGTAGTAGTCTGTGAGCTGAACTGGGAAATCCATCTCCGTGCGCCGAGTCTCTTGTTCGATGGCCAGACTCCCTTGCCATGACTCTCACACCATGTGGGCTCGTCTCTCGTCTATTTTTTCCTCATCTCTGTTTGTCAGATGTTCTGAAAGTTGGATTATGGATGGTACTTGCTAGCGAATGGGTTTGGCAAGGAAGAGAGCCCCCCCATTGCCCTCAATCCATCTCGGAAAAAGTCTCGGGGCAATTTCCACTACGCATGCCATGGCCAACTGGGTCACTCAGATACGATGAACACACTAGTCGAAAATCGACTCATCGCCTCCAACTCCTCCATCCAGGGACCTGAATCTCTGAAAAAGCGGGGCTGCAAGTACCCAGCGGAGACCAAGTGCGCCATATCTGAGTGAATCGTGGAACCCTCGGCTTCGGACTTAACGGGTCTGGCCCTGAAAAAATGCGTGAAACGATAGGCTATCAAGCTTTTTTTACGAGCTCTGGGGAGCAGGCACCCCCCGGCAGTTAATATAAACACACAGGATGTGATTGTGCCCACAGAACACAAGCGCTGATATTTAGTCTACAGCTGACGATTTCGCCAGGGGTCCTGAAGCCCAGGTCCACCCAGTCACTCGCTATCATTCGCCTTCGTCGGGCTGACATTCCTTTTCGTCTTGCGCAGGATCGGTTGATCAGACTACATTGCAATCATGATTCCGTCCTGGCTGCTCAATGCGGGCTGTTTCTTCGGGTTTATAACCTGCCATACGCCCCCAGGTGTTTGGCCTGATCAGGGTGCGACGGTCATTTCATCCACTGCAACTCCTTTGACAACTTCAACCATTGGAGTTTCAGGAACGATTGTTCCTGGCACTACTTCAATTGTTCATTCGTTTACTACCACCGATTCTCTCGCTTTGTCTACTCCCACTGCTGCACCTACTACTTTACTCACTTCGTTCAGCTCTACTGCTACAATCGTTGCTTCGCTTTCTTCTTCCTCTCTTTCCTCCTTTTCTTCCTCCTCCTCTTCTTCGTCTTCCTCTGTTGTGTCAGTCGAAGCATCCACCACCATGTCTCTCAGCTCGAGCATTGTGGCTGCCCCGTCTGCCTCCGCCGCCGTCTCTGCTTCTGTCGCGGCGGTGAGTGCGGGGTCTGTTGCGGCCAATATCCTGGTTATTGCCCGAGACACTGCCTCGGCCAATGTTGCGTCCTCTGGACTTAACGCTTATGGCATTCCCTTCACCACTCTTGTCGTGCCGCAGGCTGGAGCTAGCCTGCCTACGCTCAACACCACCACCGGAGGAAACTTCGGAGGTATTGTGGTTGCCAGCGAGGTCAGCTACGACTACGGCACCGCGGGCTTCCAGAGTGCGTTGACTACGGACCAGTGGAACCAACTGTATGCCTATCAACTGGCCTATGGTGTGCGCATGGTACAGTACGACGTCTATCCGGGCCCCAACTATGGTGCCAGTGCCGTCGGAGGCGGATGCTGTGACACCGGTGTGGAACAATTGGTGTCATTCTCCGATATCAGCGACTTCCCCACCTCAGGCCTGAAGACGGGTGCCGGTGTCAGCACCAGTGGTCTCTGGCACTATCCGGCCACCATCAGCGACACCAACACCACCAAACAAATTGCCTCGTTCGCCTCCAACTCGGTCGTGTCCAGTGACACGACTGCTGCAGTGATCAACAACTTCTCTGGCCGTGAGCAAATGGCGTTCTTCATTTCCTTCGATACCACCTGGAGTGCTACCTCCAACTACTTGCAGCACGCTTGGATTACCTGGATTACACGCGGTCTCTATGCTGGATACCGCCGTGTTAACCTGAATACTCAGATTGATGACATGTTCCTCGAGACGGACATCTACTATCCGAATGGCACTACCTTCCGTATCACCCCCGATGACCTGACGGGCATCACCAACTGGGTGCCCACGATCAATGCCAAGATGAACGCTGGAAGCAGCTACTACGTCGAGGTTGGTCACAACGGTAACGGCAACATCGAGGCCTCCGCCAACACCGGTGATGCAGGTTATGATGCCTGCAACGGCGGTGCTATTGAGTATGATTCTCCTGCCGACACTCCTTTGGAGTTCCAGAAGCCTCTTGGAACTGGCACCAACCTCTGGCCCTCTACCCCGACCGCGTACGACTGGACGACCACCTGTACCAAGCTCGATGCCCTTCTGAACTGGTGGACCACTTCATCCAACTTGAACAGCTGGGGTCACATCTCCCACACTTTCACCCACGAGGAGCAAAACAACTCGACCTACTCGGATGTGTTCAAGGAGATCTCCTTCAACCAGGCCTGGCTCAAGCAGGTCGGTATCGATGCCGCTGCGCACTTCACCTCCAACGGTATCATCCCCCCGGCCATTACTGGACTGCACAATGGCGATGCTCTTCAGGCCTGGTGGGATAATGGCATCACCAACTGTGTCGGTGACAACACGCGTCCCGTGCTCCTGAACGCGGATAATGCGATGTGGCCCTTGTTCACCACCGTTGCTGCCAACGGCTTCGCCGGCATGCAGGTCAACCCTCGCTGGGCCACCCGTATCTATTACAACTGCGACACTCCGGCTTGCACTGTGCAGGAGTGGATCGATACCTCTGCTGGCAGCGGCGACTTCAGTACTCTGCTGGCTACGGAGGAGTCCGACACCATGCGCCACCTGTTTGGTCTCTACCATGACCCTTACATGTTCCACCAGGCCAACCTCCGCAACGCAGACGTTGACCCCATCACCATCAACGGCGTGTCGGCCCAGTACTCCATTTTCCAGGCTTGGGTTGAGACCGTGGTGCAGGAATTCGTGCGCCTGGTTGACTGGCCTATCGTTACTCTGAAGCACCAGGACGTGAGTTATTTCCTTAGCCTAACTAGCATCTCTTGAAATCGGTAACTAATCAGTCTACAGATGTCCGCTGGCTTCCTCGCTCGTTTCAACCGCGACAAGTGCGGTTACGCTCTCAGCTACGCCATCGCGAACAAGCAGATCACTGCGGTGACTGTCTCCGCCACCGGCAACACCTGCAGCGAGCCCGTCCCCGTCACCTTCCCTGTGGCGCCCACCAGCACCCAGGGATTCACCACCGAGCAGGTGGGCAGCGACCCCCTGACCGTGTGGGTGGAGCTGTCGGGCTCGCCGGTGACGTTCACTCTCTCCACTCCCATCGCGTTGTAAAAAGCGCGGGGGGAGGAAACACACTCGCTTGATTGACGGGATTCTGATCCTCTGGACATAATCTGTAATGTTATAATGGCCACATCATGGATATACTAGTAGAATTAGCTACGATACAACATTGAGTATCACTAGGATGAGATACGGTACGAATACAATCGACAGTGTTTTTACGCAGCTGGAGTGGTACTGTAAAATGTAACTGGAGGCTGGACATATCCTGTACATACAGTACATAACATCACCACCACCGCGCACAGGACCAGCAAACACTGTCACATCCAGTCTCCCGGGGAAAACAACCCATAAACCCTCTTACGTCTCTATGACGCTGAGTTTAGGTTAAGAACTTTTGCGATCATCCAAAACCTACCCAACGAGAACCTACCAACACACACAGACACACACACACACAGAGAGAGAGAGAGGGACATCCCGCACGCAACCCAAAACCAAATCGCGGAGGTCCAACCACACCGGGGGAGGCGCACTGGCAAAAATCCCCTTCCTCCAGAACCCTGCATGAGAAAAGCGGGAAGGGCATGAGCATGAGCATGAGCATGCGCATAAGCAGCGGGCAAACCACCACTCAAGCACAAAGGAGACAAAACTCTTTCTTTGCTGTATTATGGTGTACCTATCCAATGAATCCAGCATCGCAAAGATACTTCCACAGTTCCACCAGTCCACGGGAGAGAAAGTATCATGCTTGCCTTGCCCCCACGTCCTTTCCAACATCCCCCAAAAGTACGATCCTTGTTTTTTTTTNGTTTTTTTTTTTTGGTTTTTTTCCCTGCTTTCTCGGGGGGGTCGGGGAAAGGATTTAGGGGGAACTAAGATTTCCTACCCCTCATCCAGGATCCAGGATCAGGGATCCATTTTTCTGCCCCTGTCAAATTGGAGCGATAGGACAGCGCATCATCTTTTCTTTACTGCTGCATCCTGCCGGTCGATCTTGGCGTATGCACACCAGTACAATCCTTTTTCGATTTTTGGGGGATTAGCCTGAATGGATCCTGTTTGTTGGGGTGGTTTCAGCAGGTTTTTCTTTTTTTTTGTTGGATGATTTTTAGGATTCAGATTAGATTTAGATATACGAATGGGGGGGAGTTTTGATTTGACGGGGTGCGTGTTTCTGATAATCTATATGGGATGACACTTTGTGGGGAATGGGAATGGGCGGGCGGAGAAAAGAAAGAGGAGCCAAAAGGGACGGAAGGGATGAGTGGGGAAGGGAAGAAGGGGAGAGAGACGGGAAGGAAGGTGACTTTGGAATGTGGACGGTGGTTGTCGGCTACGGTGACCTATTTTTACCACCTAAGGTATGTATGTCTCGCTTAAGGGTCTTATGATGGGGCTGTTTGAGCTTGCAATTGATAATGTGTTGATTTGGTCGCTCAGTGTTCACCCTTGTGGTGGTAGTGTAGTTGACAGCGAGGTCGGATCCGAAAGACAGACGAGGCTAAACACACATGATCTCTTGGAAGGTTGGCTGGACCCTGTTAGAAGTGGTGTTATAGCGTCACCAGAACCAGCTGGCTTAGTTAGCTAGTCGACTGACTAGCTCTTAGTCGACTAGCTACTAAGGTCAACTAAGTAAGCAGGGGCAAAATACCTACAGTCAAGTTACTCGTACATTGGAATATGGAACTAACTTGCTACTGTGTGCTGTATAATACACTAAACTATTACTATAGATGTAGACCTCACCCTTCCCCACACAAACTCTCGCTCCGTCACCCTGGCTTGCAGGAACAGAGCGGGAGGCAAAAGCTACCTACCTCCTCTGCCGACTAGTTCCGAGTCAGTTAGCCGATGGTGGTGAAGGTTGAGTTTCGCTTCTCCCGCGTATGGTCCTGTCAAATTTTACTTTTGTCTTTAGGTGCCGGTTAGACTAGCGTTTCTCGTATTTGGATGCATCATACATTGGCCCCGTTACACCTCATCTTGGTTTGTCTTGTATGGGATGATGCTTATGATGCTGATGCTGATGCTGATGATGATGATGATGATGCAAGTTAGATTAAAATTACTAACTCTTTCACCTGCTTACCTCACGACTTTAGTTAGGAACTCGCCGAAGAAGGCAAGGCAAGTCAAGTCCGGGATATGTACACGAGCCTAAGGCTTGGGTTGGTAGATGGCCAGTTTTCTCATTACCCCTACATTTGTAGACTTTCTTTATGCCCAGTCTCCAAGGCTGACCATCGGCGCCGAGGTCGGGGGAAGAGGAGGTCAACGGACATGCCGATGATTATGTTCGAATAGCGACGAACTTCTTGTTCAGGGAGGAGACTATATTTCCCATATTCGTATTCATTAAAGATTTGTGAGTTGGCATTGCCATCATCCCCGGTTCGACAATAGCATGATTGTGAGATTCTCATGTCATCTGGGCTGATGATGAGAGAGGGGGGCTATGAGGCTACAAGACTCGAATTGCGGAGATCGCCTCTTTGTCTCAGGCTGAGCTTTAGTTTGTAGGCTGTTGTTGTAATCGGGGAAAAAAAAAGTCATGATGCCATTCAAGCTCGTAAACCACAAGCCCAAACACAATGGACGCACTCCTTCGTCTCCCCTCAATGATCCTTATGCCAGGCTAAAAAGATAATCACATCGTACTTCTCCTGACTGCAGGACATCGCTGGACAGAAGATGTTCGAACTATCGCCTCTTCAGTTTCTGAAGCGCCGGCCCCCTTCAGCTTTTGCTCAGCCCCATCCCCGTTTACTTTTCTTTTTCTCTTCCTTGTGTTCTGTACTACGCGCCTCGAAAACCCAACCTGACAACCGTCCTACCTCAAGCACCTTTTTTGCCTTTGGCCCCGTGAAATTTTAAACCCGACGCCTGCATGTCAAGCTTAGGTTGACACCTGCCAGGGGGAGGGAGAAAGGTCAGTCAGGGACGGCCGCGGTGGCTGGCCTGGACGGTTCTCCTGCGTCTACCGTGCTAATCATAGGAAGATTCCGTTCGTCGCGAGGCAACAAACGGGCGGAAAGTAAACAGCCAAAGTAAAACTCTGCCAGGTCAGCAGATTTGCTGCAGCGAATATCCCTGTAGGATCAGACGGTCAGGCCAGTCGGGTGCAGTGCAAGGGAAAAAAGGGAGAAGGCAAAATGGCCATGGCCATGGCCATGCCATGCCATGCCAGCCCAACAAGCCAGCCAAGGGCTAAGCCGGTTTACCGTGGGGAAATGCAGGGACGGGGGTCGGAGGTCGGAGGAGATACAATCCCTGGTAGTATTTTGGCCTTAGTGTTTGTTGTTCGGAGTACATACGTGCGAGTGGTTGGAAAAGAACTAATGCTGAAGAGATGTGTGTGTGTGTGTGTGTGTGTGTGTGTGTCCCACGTAACGGAGCTTGCCAAACTTCCCATACATGAGCTAGTGGAGTTGAGAATGACCAGTAGACCAGTCAGTAAAACCAGTAGAAGATCGGAATCTGGGCACGAAAAAGTGTCCGATGATGATGGGAAGGGAAGATCAATCACATCGGGCCATCAATCACAACATGCCAAATTCTCCGCCACCGAAACGTGGTAGACAGCGCAAAAGCCATGCGCGCCAAGACCAACCCCCCAGGTGGTCCACCGCGTTCCAAGCAGTCGAGAGACTCGAGTCAGGTCACTACGGAGTAGGCTAGTAGTCTCCTGCGCGCCAAGAGGAGGGGATACGAGATGAGTGAGCGCGTAAGTCTGACGGTTGCGAACTTGTGCACATTATTTGCACAAGTTGTTGCTCGGGTAGGGGCAATGAATCGAGAACTGTTCGGGAGTCCAAATCCGAGAGCTATTTTAGGGTTGATGGGGGGGGATGGGAGGGAGAAGAATGGTCAGGAGCAGATTTGTGGTGTTGTCTTGGTGGTCTTGAGGGGTCTTAGGGTCTCTTGGGATTCCATCGCAGATCTTGGCAGAACTGCGGGTGGTTGCCAAGCCGGATGATTGTGAGATGTTTTTGTATGTAATGGTATTTACCAGCGAGCTGCAAGTTACCATGAGAGGAGCACTGTTCGACAGTCGATACCGATTTCTGACCAAGTGTAATTAACAATACATAGTCTGACCGTACCTGATCTCGGAAGGAACGGTTAGTGTCCGTGGCTTGCTGGGACTATCCGATTGGCAGCGAGGAAAAATGGCAAGGTTCCGGCCCGATGGAAGGACAAAAGGTCAGGAAAAACAAAAAAAAGAGAGTAAAAAAGTGCCAAGAAATTGAGCAGGGAAACCGCCAGAGCATGGTGGCTTGAGTTTACCGCGGCCCCTCTCTGTCTAACTTTCTTCAGCGATCAGAAACCCAGCGAAGTCTTTGCGAAACCTTAAAACAACTCGGCTATAGCGTGCTTGACTCGAATTGTTGTCATCATCCGATCGTCTGTTTTTAGGGCATCTTGCGACCGGAAAATCGGCCCTTCGTTTCCTGTTAACTAGTCGAGACGGACTGGTCTGGGCCTACGCAGAGAGTTTTTAAGATACTTACTGTGTACTCATCTACTCCGTATAAGTTATTTCAGTGACTCGATCCTCCTTTGTAGGTCGAGCCTCGTACGACCAAGGCCAAGTAAACTTCAAGCGCTGACGGTTTTACCGCCCATTGCATCCTTCCGGTCTTGATTGAAATAGACAAACAAACAAATCGAAAGAGGCAAACAACAACCAGCCTGGAGCCCAGCCATACCTGGTACCTCAGGTACTTTGCTAGATTAGGGTAAATGGGTGGCTGTGGGGAGGTCACGGGGTGGCTTAACCCTTTCCAGCCGATTCCGGTGTGGCTTACCTCAAACAAAGAACCATTCCATGAATGGTGACACGATGTTCTCTTATTATCCATCTTCAACCACTTTCCTAAGATTTCGGTTCATTCACCGTGAGGTAGACACAAGATCTGAACAATATGGTGCAGTTTCGCATCGCTACCTTCTCCCTACCTATCTCTGGACCAAGGTCCAATTCTTAGTCAGAGGAGGAGCCTGCCCAGACTTCACAGGCGCCGACCCGATTATTT